ACAAACATCCCCAACTTCATAGTATACAATAACCGCTTTACTGTTACAGGTCCTGTGGGGTGGGGACTGGACAGGGCACAAGGATGGTCTGTTTCTCCTGCACAGTGTCCAGGGACTCAGCTGGGAAGACTGAAAGGGCTGGGGGCTGACATCATCCACTGGCTCCTCCACTCATGTCTGGGGCCTTGACTATGATGATTGGAAGGTGGGGCTCCTCTGGGACTGTCAACCAGAGCACATACCAGTGACCTCTCCATGTGTCCTGGACTTCTCTCAACATGGTATGTGTGTCCTGTGAAGGTGGGTCCCAAGCGGGATCATTCAAGAAGCCAGGTGCAAGTGGCATAGCCTTTTCTAATCTAGCTTCAGATGTCATATAGTGTCACTTCAGCCATGTTTTACTGGTTGAAACAAGCCCATCTAGATTTAAGGGGAGGGGACATAAACATTACCCCTCAATGGGAAAAGTTCAATGAATGTGGAGTAATGTTTTAAAATGGACACCAGGCATCATGCTAGCATGGTACATACTATTAGGTAAACCCTTTCTTGTTGTTTTCCCTGTTCTATGTGTTTGTGTCTTTTTCTTCCTCCACCTGGTAAGCCCAGTGAAGCCAAAAAGTGGGTCTTAGATTCTACCATTCCCGGAGTGCCTTGTCCATCCTTTTCTGGCACAGAAACCCCTTTGAAGCCATTTAACTTAATTCAATAATCATTAAATGGCCACTTCAAAGCAACTCACTGGCTGCCTACTATTTAAAATACCACCAGCTCCATCCAGGTCTTTAGGATTTTCTCACATGATTCACTGCTACACATAGACTAATTGTCTTTGTCAAAGCCTTTAATGCCCAAACCCATGGTAATTTGTGCATAAGCAGTCCCTGTAACATGGGTATGGACCTCAGAAAAACATGGTTCAAGAACCCCACCTTTAACTACCAGAGGAGCCACTCTTAATGTGGTCGCCTAGCAGAGGAGAGCAGACCCAGAATGAAGACTGCAGCAAAGCAGAGCGGAGGCCAAGTCACTTTTGTCTTCTGGCAAGAGAAAGTCTTCACGTGGTATTTTCAGGCAGCTGAAAGCACATTTTGCCGTGTTTTCCCTGCTCTTGTTGCCTGTGCAGCTTAGAGCCTGAACATTTCAGAGAAAAGGAAAAGTGGAGGCAGGGAATGGTCTTTGAAAGAGAACACTGGCTTAGAATTCTTCTCAAGTGGGATCCTTTTAATTTAGAATTACCTTGAACTAACTATCTTGTAATCAGTGCAGGCCACTCTGCTTTGCCTGACATGAGGATGTCTCATCAAAACTGTTAGTACTCTAACGTTTTTGCGATGTGTCCCTCTAAATGAAATGTTTGGATCTTAATTTGATCAGAACCATGTTATTTCAGAACCCTAAAGAGAACAAATGGGAGCAAAAAGAAGGAAGCAAAGATCCCAGTGTGGCTCAAATTGGGAAGCCTCTTGCAGCAGGAGCCTCCTGCTTAGGAATTCATAAGAATCACATTTTGTAGAAAACAAAGGGCAAAGAAAACCCTTCCATTTATTAAAAAAAGAACTGCTGCACCCCAACATGACAGAGGATTATCTAAGATACTTCTTAATTATTTAAGATTCATTCTAATTTAAATAAGATGAATTGATGAATAGGATGAAAAAGAGCTAGAATGTACACCCTGACTATAAGACATTGGATTTTGGTTTTGGACTTTGGGTGAACCTCTAACTGTGGAAAAGGGTCTAATTTCTTCATTGTCAATTTTATAAGCTGCATTTGATGGTTTACTATGTGTGTGAACTTGATATACTTTTTTTTAACCTTCAGACACCATATACTCTTGATTTGCAAAGAAAAGATCTTTTCTAAATGTTTTTAAAGTATTGGAAAGAAGAATAATGAATTGAACCATAAAAGCATTTATACTCTTTCTTAAGTTCTTTTCTCAAGCAGTTAAAGCAGTTTTATCCTTGGAGATGGATTTGATTAACCTTTAGCAATGTGAAGATTTTTCTTTCTATAAGAATCATGATTTATAAAGTTAAAATAGTAACTCAATCCACTGTGGCTCTTCAAATGATTCCTAGACCTTCTACAGTTCCTATAGCAAAGGGACTTCTATAGGAGTTGAGAGCTATCTGAGAGGGTGTGGGTCTGTCTTGCCAATGGGTTTCAGCCCCGGGCAAGTTCACTACGGATTCAATGTGACCAAAGAAATAACAGTAGAACGTTCTTGGGGATGAAAGGGTTTATACCCAACTTTATTTCTACAGTGGCAGGTCAATCACTAGAATCCCATCCACTCAGAGCTAGTCTGCATGCAGCAAGCCGGTCTCTGCCTCAGGGTCTCTCTACCCGCGCAGCCGTCTCAGTCTCTGTCCTCGGCGCTGCCACCACTCCAGCCTCTGCTCTGCTCTCCTGCAGCCTTGTAGCTGTGCCACTGTGTCGCCCAGAGCACTGGGCAAGGCTCTTATATAGAGTCAATAACCACGTATTGCCCACACATGTTTAATGAGCCTAGCCAACCAGAGCCAGGTGAGAATCCTGGCCACAAGAACCTTCACTTTATCCACAAGGTCCCAGGTTCCTCTTCAGAAGGCTCCTCAGCACAGTGGGGCTGAAATCAAAGCAGGCCAGATAGAGAGGAACTAATGGCTCTTTATAATGTAATGGGTGATCTTTAGTGTCTGGTGAAAAATGACTCTTGGGAAAATTAAAATACATGTTTAATAAAGCCATACAAATGCTATAAGCATCACTGGTCCCTAGATAGCTATGCCTTTGATATTGTCACTTTGCTTCCCAGAGCGTCAGCTGCATGAGCATCAAGTAACAACTGAGAGAGCCTATAGGAAATGAAGAGTCCCCAGAAGCCACTCATAACATGACTGGATTCAGCCTCAGTTTGCTAAGAAAGCCTTTCTATATTTTAAGAAGCCTGAATCAATCAGCCAGAAGTGCTCCTAAACTCACTGGTTACACCTCTTCAAATTTCTTTGTAGCATGGATTTGTGAAGCCACCAGCAAGGTAGGAAAATTGATCTGCTGCTACAGTGGGAATGAATGTTCATTGTCACTTGCTTTCCATAGGTGAGATCCCAAGTTCAAACTTGACCACTCTATGAGGTGATCCCTCACCTCCTCCAGATACCCTTCTGTGGTGGTGACTTGGTACCAGACTAGAAACTTCCCAAAGCTCTAATCAGGGGATATGAGCTACTGCTGAGGAGGCAAAGTTTGTTTGCTCTGAATCAGCCCTTGGAGTTTAGTCATCAGGGGTTGCATTCATTCATATTCAGAATTATTCAAGTCTTGTAATAATTATGAAATGGAGGAAACTCATGAAACTGGGATTATAAAAAGGAAAAGTGAGCAGAATCTTTACTGGATTGTCAACAGATCTAAACAGAAGAAATCAGAGGCCTGTCAGAAATCAGGTTTTGGTAGAAAGAAAACAGTTCAAGGTCTTGTTGGTGGAAGGTGGGGTTCTATTTGGCTTAGGGTCAGGAAGGCCACAGAGCTTCTGTATCATTATTTACTACCACAGGAAGAAGTTCAGGGCACTGAGGTTCAATCACTCAAATGGGTTGTGGAGTCTGGGAAGAAACGTTGTTTTAGATTCCATTAGGAACACTACAGTTGGATTAGCAGTAGAGCTAAGACACAGACTCAGGGGCCTTGCTCCTCAGGAATATAAAGTTGAGGTAAATGTGGAGTCTGTTTCAGTAATTAAGCAAGAATGAATGAGGGCTCTGACTAAGGAAAGAACAGTTAGAATGAAGACAAGAAGTTGGAATAAAAAAATATTTGGATATAGGGTAAGTGGGTTTGACAACAGATTAGTTATTGCAGGGAGATCCTGGAGTGAATGCAGTCCAGAGTTTAGGAGAGTGGGATGATGAACCATTGAATGAGATGACAAATGCAGGTGGTAAAGTATGTTTGGGATGTTCAGAGAACACGGTGGGAAAGTGAAACTGATGCCAAAAGCTAGGAGAAGTACCAAAGCAATGCCTATTGGGAAATGGAAGTGAAGAAGATGAGACTTATCTATAATATTTTACTCTTTTTCACAAATAGCTTGAAGCAATTGTTAAGTATTTGGAATGTTTATATTGCTGTAGTTTTTAATTTTCCCAAAATTAGTCCTTTAAATTATTTCCTTAAAAGAAATTAAATAACATATTAAGCATTTGGAGGCCCTACTATGTGCTTGGCACTGTTTCAGGCATTTGGGATATTTGCCCCCTTCTACTGTCCTCTTCCTTTCAGAAGTTACCAGGCCTAGAGCTCAGAGACGGCTTCCGGTTCCACCTCGGCAACAGGCAAGTGGCCTTTTCTCCCTGGGTCTATTTCGCTGTCAAATCCTATGATTTAATACTGGACTCCAGCATTCTTTTCACAGAAGTGGGCCTCACAGTGCAGTCGCTTGGCATAAAGAACTCCATATGGGGAGTGTGCGAGAAGGGTGATCTACGAAGAATGTTTTCCAAATGGTCCTTTACACCTCTGCCTCCCACCCCAGCCCAGGATATGAATGCCTCATGGGATTTCACATTTGCAAGGGAATCCTGATCATTTTTTGGTAATGATAGATGGGTAGAGAATTATGTATCTGAATTCCAGTCTAACCAACAGCAGCAATTTCCATACATTCAGTACCAGCTTTTTGGGGCACTGTGGAGAGAACAGTTAAAAAAAATTTCTGCCTTGGTGCAGTTTGCATTTCAATGGACTGAGAGAGAACGGGGAAAAAAAATTGCGCTGTAAGGGAAGGCAAAGCAAGGTAGGTAAACCCAAGCCCTCCGACTCCTACGGAACCTAACCCTGAGTAAGCCCTTCCGGGTCACCTGGTTCCGCTCCCGCTCCGGCTTCACTCTCCGCCCACAGCCCTGCCTTCGGTCCCTGGCCCTACCCATTCCCTGACGTCAGTTTTCCAGACCCCGCCGCCGCACTGACCTGGCCAATTGAAAGCCTCAGAATCTGCTCGTGCTCTATTAAAAGCCCCGCCTCGTGCGTAGACGCGCGGCGACGGCGATGGGGCTTAGCGGCCGTGCGGTGTGCTGTATCGGGGCGCTTCTGTGGCGCAGGGCCGTGCTCCCAGGAGCCGGGCCTGCGTCGGGCGTGGGGCCCCAGCTCCGGCTGCTGTCTGTGCGGCGGCTTAAGGCGGGACCAGCGTTTGGCCCGGCCTGCCTGACCGCCGACCGCGCGCGAGGCCTGCACGGCGGGCCCGGCCTGGAGGAGGGGGCCGCGGAGGCAGCCGGCGAGGGGCGCCCGGAGTCAGGCACTGCAGGTACTGGCGCGAGGAGGGCGGCGGCCGCGCCCCCCGGGAAGCTGGGGACCAGGTAGCCGGGAGTTCCTCTCTGTGTGCATTTCTCTTGGAGTGACAGAATTCCCACAGCTCCAGAGGTAAAATGGGCTTAAAGGTTGTTGGCGCCAACTTTGCCATTTCACAGTGAGGAAAACTGAGGCCAAGAGATGAACTGACGTCTCCAACACTCCAGGCGTCCTAACGGGCCACACTGGACCCTTGGCCTCACCGTCTTCATCGCCCTTCACACTCTCCCTAGTGCCGGGAGAAACGGACTTGAGAGTGTTGGGGAGTGAGGATTCCGAGGAAGTGCCAGGGGCTGGGCTGGGGGCTAAGGGGTGCGTAAGAAGCACCAATAGTAGGCGGGGCTAATTTAAGGTCCTCTAATTATTTTAAGTGTTTAGAAAATTTAGAGTTGGTAAACATCACATCTGTGAAAGGATAGCATGTGAGAGAGAGAGAGAGGTCTTAGTGGTCTTAGCCACTAGGTCCTTGCGAGTCAGCTTTAGGACTCAAGAGAACTGTAGATTTATAGGTCCTAATTCCCCCAAGGTGAAGAATAGAATATCAAAAAATCTACGGGAAAACAAAAAATATATATATAAGGTTTGCAGATAACGGTTACATAACCCAAATGGAAAAGAAAACCCAAATAAGAAAAACTGGAGGGTTCAAAGTAAGATTTGTTAAAATTTTAGTTCTCTCGTTGGTTGATTTAGGGCGACACTCTTGTTCTGCTAGGCCTAATCTTATCTTACTCTCCGAAGTGAAGGTGGTGGACCACGTACTACCTAAGAGCTCTTCCAGCTCACAGTTCTAGTTTTGTGACACTTTATGGCCAGAATTCACGTTAATATGTCCCAGGATATCACCACCTTCCCAACTTGTGTGTGCTGCTGTTTTTCATCCTTTTAGAGCAATTCTGTGTTTAAGGTGTATTGTTCATTTCCTCAAGTACTAGTGACAGTCATTTATTGCTGATACATGGTTCTATTTGCATGTGGAAATAACAAAGGATGTATTGTGGCTCTGTGTAACCTGACACCCTTCCCATAAAAGTGAAGTGGTGCTGTAGGAAACAATTGCCTAGGTTCAGCTTCCAAAAGGCTTGGGCCCTGCCATCTTTCAAAACATTAAGATCTAAACACTACCAATGGAGGAGCATTTTCCCTGTCAGTTGCCAGCATCTCTGGGTGCGTTCAGTGTCTTCTATTTGGCTACCTGACACGAGCAAATCTTTATGCATTTCAGATCATACTACTCCCAAGTTTGACATCGATGTGCTGGTTTCACTTCTGAGGCAAGAAAATGCAAGAGACATTTGTGTGATCAAGGTTCCTCCAGAAATGAAATATACAGATTACTTTGTGATTGGTAGTGGAACTTCCACCCGACACTTACATGCCATGGCCTACTACATTGTGAGAATGGTAGGATGCTTTCTTTTCCCTTTGGAACCATTAACTTAATGGTACAGTGTCAGTGTATAAGGCTAAGGAGCAACACTTAAAAATTTAAGAAGGAAACCCATCATATAAAGTTATAAGAAGCCCGGATTTTCAGAATTTGTGTGAGTTGTTTATGTTAGTTGATAGTGACACTATGGAGACAAATATCCGCAGTGAGTCAGAATATTTCTAATTCTTGTCTCTTATTACCATGAGAAAAAAAATATTTAAAAAATAACCATAGGCTGGCTAGAAAACAGGCTAGAACCCAGAGGGATTTCTAGACCCGCACTATTCAATGTGGTAGGCACTAGTCACATATGGCCGTTTAATTGTAAGTTAAAATTAAAACTTCATTTCTTTAGTTGTACTAGCCACATTTCAGGTGCTCAGTGGCCACATGTGGTTAATGGTTACCATATTCAATAACACAAGTATAAAACATTTCCATAATTGCAAAAAAATCCTATTGGACAGCCCTGGACTAGAGTATAATTCAATGTTGGAGCATGTCCGGTGTTCTGAAGCACTGTGCTGAGTATTGAAAAAATAAAAAGATTTTCTCCTTGCCCTCCAAATTCACAAGTCTGGTTGAGGAAAAGGGAAAACAGTTCAATTTCCAACTGGACTGGATAGGAATTAGAATGAGGAAGAAAATGTACTTAGAACATGGAGCAGATTCTGATACCATTATTCACAGGGGAGCATACCTTTCTAACCTTGTTAAAAATTGGTCATAGAGGAAACAGTTAAGACCAACAGAGTAGCTAGCTTTGCCTAGACGACGGTGGTGAAATAAGGGGGCTGAAAACAATGCTGGTGCAGCATGGCAGAACAAAGGAAGATTCAAAAAAAAAAGTTGCAGAGGCAGGAGGAGAACCAGGAAAGCATGGAGAGGAGTTAGAAGCAGGGTCCCAGGGTCTCTGCCAGTTGTAATAGTAGGACGAGTAAGATGAAGACTAAGAAATGACTACTGAATTTAGAGATATAAAAAGAATGAGGTTTTCTTCGTTGTTATACTCCACAAATAAGGAAAATCATTTGGTACTTGTCTTTCTCTGCCTGGCTTTTTTTACTGAGCATAATACCCTCTAGCTCCAACCATGTTGCAAATGGTAGGATTTGTTTTCTTACGGCAGAATAGTATTCCATTGTGTATAGGCTCCACATCTTCTTTATCCATTCATCTACTGATGGACACTTAAGTTGCTTCCATATCTTGGCTATTGTAAACAGTGCTGCGATAAACAGGGATGCATATGTCCTTTTGAGTCTGAGGGGTATTAGGATTAGTACACATGGTATGAGGAGGTCATGGGGAGGACAGTGTAGCACAGAGAAGACAAGTAGTGACTCTGGCATCTTACTACACTGATGAACAGTGACTTCAGTGGGGCATGAGGGGGACTTGATATGGGTGAATGTAATAACCACATTTTTTTTCATATGAAACCTTCGTAAGAGTGTATATCAATGACAAAAAAAGAAGTTTCCTTGGAAGAGGTAGGGCACGGGAATTGAAGTTACTTGTACAGAGTTTTAGATGAGGAAGGATTAAAATGCAAGATCAAGAAAATTTTGTGGTAAAATAGACAACATAAAGCTGAATATTTTAATCATTTTTAAAGGTACAGTTAAGTGTCATTAGTTAATTCATATCGTACAACCATTACATTCATCTCATATTATAAAACTGAAATTCTACACATTAAACAATAACCCATTTTCCTCCTACCCCCAATGAACCACCATTCTGCTTCCTGTCTCTAATATGTATTTAACTGCTCTAAGTACTTCATATGAGTGGAGTCATACTGTATTTGTCCTTTTGTGATCAGCTTATTTCACTTAGCATATTTTCAAGGTTCATGTTGTAGCATGTGTCAATTTCCTTTTTTATAGCTTAAATGTATAAGTGTACACTTTGTATGTATGTGTATACACACCACATTTTATCTGTTCATCTATGAACAGATATTTGGGTTGCTTCCACCTTTGACTGTTGTGAATAATGCTGCTATAAATGTTGAATGTAGAAATACCTGTTCATATCCTTGATTTTTTAAAAATAATTTTTAGTATTTTTATCTTGAAGGACATACAATAAAATGCACAAATCTTAATGTACAGCTTGATGAATTTTGACATGTGTATACAGTCATGTAACCATCATCCAGATGAAGAAATGAAACATTCTAGTTTTTTTTCCTCTACTCCTCTGTGGTAACCACCAGTCTGTTCTCTGTATTTATCAGTGAGTCTCTTTTTAATTTTGTTTTGCTTGTTTTTTTTAGATTCCACATATAAGTGAAATCATAGATTTGTCTTTGTCTAACTTATTTCACTTAGCATCATACCCTCAAGGTCCATCCATGTTGTCAAAAACAGCAAGATTGTTCTTTCTTATGGCTAATATTCCATTGTATATATGTACTACATCTTATCTATTTATCTGTCAATGGACATTTAGGTTTCTGCATTTCGCTATTGTAAATAATGCTGTGATAAACATAGGAGTGCATATATTTTTTTGGATGAGTGATTTTGTTCTTCATTTAAATCCCCACAAGTAAAACTGCTGGGTCATATGATATTTCTATTTTTAGTTTTTTGAGAAACTTCCATACTGCTTCCCATAGAGGCTGCACCAGTTTGTAATCCCACCAGCAGTGTATGCTGGTTCTCTTTTCTCCACACACTCACCAACACTTATTTCTTGTCTTGCTGTTATTAGCTATTCTGACTGGTGTGAGTTGATATCTCATTGTGGTTTTGATTTGCATTTCCCTGATGATTAGTGATATTGAGCATCTTTTCATGTGCCTGTTGGCCATCTGTATGTCTTCTTTGGAAAAATGTCTGTTCAGGTCCTCTGCCCATTTTTTAATCTGATTATTTGGTGGGGTTTTTTTTGTGTGTTGAGTTGTATAAGTTCTTTATATATTTTGGATATTAGCCTCTTATCAGATACATCATTTGCAAATATATTCTCCCATATAGCAGGTTGCCTTTTTGTTTTGTTGATGGTTTCCTTTACTATGCAGGAGCTTTTTAGTTTGATGTACTCCTGCTTATTTTTGCTTTTGTTTTCCTTGCCTAGGGAGACATACCTAGAAAAGTTACTAATGTTGATATTCAAGAGTTTGCTGCCTGTTTTATGGTTTCAAGTCTTATATTTAGTTTGACTTTTTGTGTACGGTGTAAGGCAGTAGTCCAGTTTCATTCTTTTTGCATGAAGCTGCCTGGTTTTCCCAACACCATTTATTGAAGAGACTGTCTTTCCCCCATTGTATATAACTTAGCCATATAGGCATGGGTTTATTTCTGGGCTGTCTATTCTGTTCCATTGGTCTGTGTATCTGTTCTTGTGCCAGTACCATTACTGTTTTGATTACTGTTGTTTTGTAGTATAGTTTGGAATCAGGGAGTGTGATACTTCTAGCTTTGTTCTTCTTTCTCAGTATTGCTTGGGCTATTCAGGGGCTCTTGTTCCACACAAATTTTGGGATTAGTTACTCTAGTTCAGTGAAAACTGCCACTGGTATTTTTTGCTCTGAATCTGTAAATTTGAACAGTCTGGCCATTTTAACAATATTGATTCTTCCTACCCATGAGCATAAGATAGCTTTCCATTTATTTGTGTCTTCTTCAGTTTCTTTTGTCAGTGTTTTATAATTTTCAGAGTATAGGTCTTTCACCTCTTAGTTAAATTTATTCCTAGGTATTCTTTCTGATGCAGTTGTAAATGGGATTGTTTTCTTATTTTCTCTTTCTGCTGGTTCATTTTGTATATGTAGAAATGCAGTAGTTTTCTATATGTTGATTTTATGTTCTGCAACTTTACTGAATACATTTATTCTAGTCATTTTTTGGTGGAGTCTTTAGGGTCTTTATATATCATGTCATCTGCAAATAGTGACAGTTTTATTTATTTCTTACCAATTTGGATGTGTTTTTTTTCCCCCTTTTTCTTGCCTGACTACTGTGGTAGGACTTCCAGTTCTATGTTGAATAAAAGCGGTGCGATTGGGCATCTTTGTCTTGTTCCTGGTCATAGAGGAAAAGCTTTCAGCTTTTCACCCTTGAGTCTGATGTTAGCTGTGGGTTTGTCATATATGGCCTTTGTTACGTTGAGGGATGTTCCTCTTTTATCCACTTTCTTGAGAATTTATCATGATGGATGCTGAATTTTAGCAGATGTTTTTTCAGTGCTCATTTCAGTAGCACATACACTAATCAATACAGATACATATAGTAATGATACAGAGAAGATTAGCATGGCCCCTACAGAAGAATGACACCCAAATTCATAAAGCATTCCATATTTTAAAAAAAACAACTTTTTCAGCATCTGTTATTCTTTTTATCCTTTTGCTGATGTGTATCACATTGATTTGTGGATATTGAACCATTCTTCTATCTCTGGAGTAAATCCTTTGTGGCCATGGTGAATGATCCTTTTAATGCTTTTTTGAATTTGGCTTGCAGATATTTTGTTAAGGATTTTTGCATCTGCATTCATCAGGGGTATTGGTCTGTAATTTTCTCTGTAGATTTCATCTGGTTTTGGTATTAGAATGATGCTGGTCTTGTAGAATAAATTTGGAAGCTTTCCTTCCTCTTGAATATTTTGGAATACTATGAGAAGGGTAGGTGTTAACTCTTTGAATGTTTGTTTTTATGAAGCCATCTGTCCTGGACTTTTGTTTATTGGGAGTTTTTAATTACAGCTTCAGTTTCATTACAAGTTATTGTTCAGATTTTCCATTTCTTCCTGGTTCAGTCTCGGGAGATTGCATGTTTTAGGAATTTATCCATTTCTTCTAGGTTGTCCAATTTGTTTGCAAATAACTTCATAGTAATCTTTTAACAATTGTTTGTATTTCTGTGGTGTCAGTTATAATTTCTTTCATTTCTTTCTGATTTTATTTGCCTTCTCTCTTAACAAATGTAGCTAAAGGTTTTCAATTTTATCTTTTCAAAGAACAACTTAGTTTTATTGATCCTTTGTACTTTTCTTTTTTTAGTTTCATTTATTTCTGCTCTGATTTTATTGCCTTCCTTCTGTTAGCTTTGGTGTTCTTCTTTTTCTAGTTCCTTTAGGTGTAGAGTAGATTGAGTTTTTCTTATTTCTTGAGGTAGGCCTGTATCTTAGAACTGCTTTTGCATTATAAGATTTTTGCATTGTTGTGTTTGTTTTCATTGTTCTCCCCCCAACTTTTTTATTTCTTCTTTAATTTCTTCATTGACCCATTGTATTTAGTAGCATGCTGTTGAGCCTCCATATGTTCATATTTTTTCCAATTTTTTTTTCCTGTAATTGATCTCAGGTTCATACTGTTGTGGTTGGAAAAGATGTTTGGTATGATTTCAGTCTTTCTGAGTTTATTAAGACTGACTTTGTGGCCTAACATGTATATCCTGGAGCATATTCCATGTGTACTTGAAAAGAATGAGTATTCTGCTGTTTTGTGATGTAATGTTCTGTATATGTTAGGTCCACTTGGTTTAATGTGTCACTCAAAGCCACTGTTTTCTTATTGATTTTCTGTCTGGATTATCTATCCACTGATGTAAGCAGGGTGTTAAAGTCCCCTACTGTGAACCATACTGTCAACTTCTCCCTTCATGTCTGTTAATATTTGCTCTATGTACTTAGGTGCCCTGCTGTTGGTTACACAGATGTTTACAATTGTTACATCTTTTTGCTCGATTGAGCCCTTAGTCGTTATATAATGCCCTTCTTTGTCCCTTTTTTGTATCTGTTTTAAAGTCCATTTTGTCTGATACAAATACTGCTACTCTAGCTTTTTTTCCCCCTCTTCATTTCTATTTGATGGAATATCTTTTTTTCCATCCCATCAGTTTTGGTCTGTGTGTCTTTAGGTCTGAAGTGAGTCTCCTGTAGGCAGCATATAGATGGATCTTATTCTGTTACCCTATGTCATTTGTACCATTTAGTCAATTTACATTTAAAGTAATTATTGATATATATGTTACTGCCATTTTGTTAAATGTTTTCTGGTCGTTTTTGTTGCTATTCTCTGAACTTTTCTTTTGCTCTTTGTTCGTGTGTAATAACTTTCTTTCATGTTATAGTTGGATTCCTTTCTCTTTATTTTTGTGTATCACAGGTTTTTGGTTTATGGTTACCATGTGGTATATATGTGATGTCTTACATATATAGCAGTTATAATAAGTTCAAATGCATTCTGACAGCACTAGATTTTTAACTCTCTCCTTCTGCATTTTATGTGGTGTCTTTACTACTTATTACTGATTTCCTTAACTAATTTTTAGAAGTAGTTGGTTTTACTACTTGTTTTTTTTAATATTCTTACTAGCTTTTAAGTGTCTACTACCTTTGCTGTTTGTGTCTACTAGTGAAATTTTTTTTCATAATTTTGTTTCTACTTAGTAGCTTTTTCATTTCCTTTTAAAGAAGTCCCTTTATATTTCTTATAAGGCTGGTTTAGTGGTGGCTTACCTGAGAAGCTTTTTCTCTCTCCTTCATTTCTAAATTATAACCTTGCTGGGTAGAGTATTCTTGGTTTTAGGTCTTTCTCTTTCAGGACTTTGAATAGATCATGCCATCCTCTCTGGCATGTAGAGTTTCTGCTGAAAAATCACCTGATAGCTTTAAGGGGTTTCCCTTTAAGGTAATTCGTTGCTTTTCTCTCACTGCTTTTAAATGTTTCTCTCTGTCTTTGATCTCTGACGTTTTAATTATTAAGTGTTGTGATGTGGGCCTCCTTGGGTTCATCTTAACTGGGGCTCTATGTGCTTCCGGGACATAGATGACGGTTTCCTCTCTTAGGTTAGGGAAGTTTTCAACTATTATTTCTTTAAATAAATGTCCTACTCTTCTCCCTCAATTCTTGTTCTCAGATCCTATAATGCAAATATTTTTATGATATTTGCTGCCCTGTAAGAGCTCCCTTAACCTATCCTTGTTCCTTTTTTTAATTTTATATTTTGTTATCCTTAACCTACAATTTCATGAAGAACATTATGTTTACTAGGCTCTCCCCTACACCAAGGCCACCCCCACAAACCCCATTACAGTCACTGTCCATCAGCATAGTAAGATGTTGTAGAATCACTACTTGTCTTCTCTGTGTTGCAAAGCCCTCCCCTTTCCTCCACCCCCCACATTATACATGCTAATCATAATACCCCCTTTCTTCTTCCCCACCCTTATCCCTCCCTACCATCCCATTCTCCCCAGTCTCTTTCCCTTTGGTAACTGTTAGTCCATTCTTGGGTTCTCTGATTCTGCTGCTGTTTTGTTCCTTCAGTTTTTCCTTTGTTCTTATACTCCACAGATGAGTGAAATCA